TGTGCTGTTACACTGGGTGCAGTGGGGGTCCCCACCCATTGGCACCCACCCGTGTGTTTGCTGCGACTGAAAACTACCCCTCTCCCTCCCTGTGGAGGCACAAAGATCCCAAAGGGCTGAGAGAAGAACAATTTCCTGAAACAGCAACAAACAGAATAAAACCGACAGCAACAGCAACAAGCTTCAGAGTCCAAATGGTCACAAAAAGAACAATTTCCAGGGTAAGCCACTACAAGGAACAAATCCCAGACATTTCCCCCAGCACGTTTCCTCCACCAGAGGAACCTGGCAGTGCCCTGCACCTTCAGTGCTCTGATGGCCAAAGTGGCCTTCAGGAGGCTCTGGATTCTCTTGTCCCCTGTCCCCAACCCCTCCTCTGCCATGTTCCCCACACCAGGATGGCACCAAGGCCCTGTGCGGGTTCAGGAGCCTCCCCCTTTTCCAGGGCAGTCGTAGTCAAGCCATGGCACAGGGTGGGGTGTCATAGACAGGAAAGGTTTGATGTCTGGAGACATTTTGGAACACCTGTGTGTGGCAGGGCTGGGTCAGGTCTTGCTTTTGGTGAAACAGGACCCCATCTGTCCATCAGTGTGTCAGCCATGGCACTCTGGGGACTGTGTGATGCTCTGCCAAAGCCAGCTCCTGAGTGGCTGGGTGACCAGAAGGGCCACCTGGGGAGAGAGCCCTTGGTGGCCCAACTGGCTTAAAAGGCAGAGCATGAGGTGGCCAAGTCAATGACCCTGTCTTCTCTTAGAGTGTCTGTCCCATCCATGCTGGAACCCAGGAGTTGGCAACTCGTTTAAATGAGAAGTATCTGCCAAGGATGTTTCCTGGAATGAAGTCCCATGGCTAAAACTTTTTTAATTTCAAATCATATGGGGTTTCCAGGCAAAAGTGTAGGAAAAGCAATAATGAGGAAAATTCTAAACCAGATGAGAACAAACAACACAAAACCAGAACTTTCCCTCCCGCTCAGTGCTGTTGGATTTTGTGGCAGTTGTAACCGCGGCCAGCAGGGGGCCCTGTATGGAGCACTCCCGGCCAGCAGGGGGCGCCCCGGTCGAGCTCGATCCCCTCAGGGGCCATGGCGGCCTCGGGCAGGAGCCAGGAGGGGAAATCGCTCCTTTTGCAAACTCACGGGCACCAATCGGCCCTGGCAATACCAGCAGCAGAGGGCAGAAGCCATGAATGCAGCAGGTTGGATCCTAGTGCCCAGTGGCGATGTAGCAGTGTCCTGGGGCCAGGCACACGCCCTGCGCAACACCCGCGACCACTCTCCATGATCCTGAATGGAAGGAAGGCAGCACCTGACCCCAGGCAGCTCTTGGGTCCACAGCTGCACCGCTGGTGACTTTATGCCACAATTCCTGCCAACCCCCAGCCTGTCACTCAGGTGAGGAGGGCAGGGATGGAGCAGCTTTGGGGACACCTGGAATCCACACAGGGTCACTCTCCACAGCCCCAACACAGCCACGGGGAGAGTCACTGCTTGGTATTTCCACACTTTTCCCTCTTGTCTGACAGGCAAACCAGAACGCAATTATTCTTCCTGAGCCCTTCCAAATGGTGCAGGTTTGAGTCTGAAAGTAGGACGAAACCAGGTAGGTTGTTGAGCAAATTGTTGTTTTCTTTGCAAGGTTTTTGGGGCTCTCTCAGAACCTTGCTGCAAGGGACAAAATGATCGATTGCTGCGTTTCTGGACTGGTTCCCTCACAGCTGCCCCTGCAGGGGTGTTTTCCAGCCAGCCCTGCTCTGAAAACCACCAAAGAGCCTCGCAGAGCCACTGTTTGGGCTCCCTTTGAGGTTTGTGCTTCTTGCAGGGTGGAGCAAACCACAGGCAGGCTTTTTTTTCTGCCGGGGTCGGCTGTTACTTGTCTCTGCCCCAGCACGGGAAAAAGTGGTTCTGTTTAGGCCGCGCTCTCAAAGAAGGAGTCTGGACTCTTGCTTTTAGGTCTTCAGTTGAGTTTATTATTTCTTATCTACAAAGATTTTCTGTCTGTCCAGCCGAGGTCTGATCAGCAAGACAGCCAAAGGCACTCTCTCCCGCCCACGAGGCGGTTGTCTCTTTTATAATGAAAACTACGTATTAGATATTTACTTTTAATTCCCAATACTTTCTGCCCTTGTTGGCAAGTGTACTCTTTCTATGAACCAATCCACACATGCCAACATCATCCTGAACATGGATGCCAAGGAGAAGAAAGAAGAAGGACAGGGCACGCCCAAATTCCTCCATCTTGGGACTCCTGATCCATGCACAGAATTCTAGACCTGCCTGTACAACACATAAAACCCCCCTGTACAGTGCATTCTAACTTAAGTTCTAACAAGTGAATAACATCCCCTCACCATTCAGACCTGAAATTCTCTCATCTCCTCACCTTCAGGTGTCATTTCTTTAAAAGGATCAAAGTCAAACCACCAGGTACTTTTGGCAACATTCCAGGGCCTCCGAGCCCCCCAAGGGTTGTCTCGGTGAGCATGGCTTGGCTGCTGTGTCCCTGTCCTCGAGGCATCTGTGCCACACCCGTGTCCCCACAGAGACCTTGTGGGGACAGTCCCCACACCCCGTGTCCCCCTGCTGCTGTCCCTGCAGTGCCACCCCCACTGAGCCCTGTCCCTTCTCCCTTCCAGCCCAGACCTTCGGCCTTGCTGGTGAGTCCTCGGTGGATGCCATGGCCTCACCCCGCTGTCCCCAGCCCCACGCTGGCGACTGGCAGCCTGGTGTCCCCTGGCAGACTGGTGTCCCCTGTCCCCCGCAGGTTCCCAGACCACCCAGCTCCTCGTGGAGCCCCCCTGGAGGCCGGCGGTGCTGTGGGAACCGGTGACACTGACCTGCCAGGGGTCGGGGACCGACAGTGCCACCAAATGGTACAGGGACGGGCTGCCTTGGGGACAGGAAGGACATGACTACGTCACTGTCACTGATAGTGGCACCTACTGGTGTGGCAGTGTGGTCAGTGTGTTCAGCCTCCCCGTGAGACTCTTAGATGGTGAATTTGGATCTTAAATGATCAGGGTGGCTCCGGACAGTTCTGGGTGGGCTCTGCTTTGTGGGTGGGGAGCCTGTGCTCTGCACACAGGGACACCACAGTGCACTCCACTGCACAGAGGTGTCCCCTGGGCCATGGGCACCCATCTCAGACCTGTCTCGAGCATCTCAGTGACATGGGACCCCCTCTTGACCCACAGACCCACTTGTGCTGCAGGTGCCAGCACAGGCATTGCTGGAGGGGGACACGGTGACACTGCGCTGCCGCGGCTGGCAGGACAACCCGGTCACCAGGGTGCGATTTTACCAGGACGTGACGGATCTGGATGGATCACTCACGGGGACCGAGCTGTCCCTGTCCCCTCTACAGGGACGGGCTGCCTTGGGGACAGGAAGGACATGACTACGTCACTGTCACTGAGAGTGGCACCTACTGGTGTGGTGGTGTGGTCAGTGTGTTCAGCCTCGGTGACACTGCGCTGCCGCGGCTGGCAGGACAACCCGGTCACCAGAGTGCGATTTTACCAGGACGTGACGGATCTGGATGGATCACTCACGGGGACCGAGCTGTCCCTGTCCCCTCTGCAGCTGAATCACAGCAGCCTCTACTGCTGCAGGGGCCAGGTGGGCTCAGGAATGTCACAGTCACCACCAGTGCCAGTGCCAGTGCCAGTGCACAGTGAGCACCCCCAGGCTGCAACTCCAATCTCCTGACACCCCCAAGCCACTTCCCAGTGGACTCAGAGGCACAGTCCTAACCTCCCCTCTCCTTCCCTCTTCCAGGAAGAGCTCTTCCTGGTGCCGGTGCTGGAGGGTCCCACCGAGCCCATCAATGGGTCTCCCCTGACTCTCAGCTGCCTCAGCATCCCCTGCCCCCCGCGGCCTTGAGCCCCCCTCCTGCACATGTTCTACCATGACAGGCAGGTGGTGGGGGTTCCAGAGGAGTCCCCGCAGCTGCTGGTGCCCGTCGTGGGGGTCTCCCACTCAGGGAATTACAGCTGCCAGGTGCGCTCCGAGGGGGGGAACGTGAGGAAGAGCAGCGCCCGGTTCCGCGTGACGGGATGGGCATGGGGAGCACACAAAGACCCGCAGGGTCCGCTGTCTAGGTATGTCCATGTGCTCCAGACACCTTACTTGTGTCCTTCCATCACTCCCTTTGTCCCCTCGCCCCTCCATGTTGTGACCTGACCCCTGATATCCCCCACCACACCCATCCCGCCTGTCCCTATCCCCCCCACCGCCGCCAGCTGCCAGCCCCTCCCTGTGGCCTCAGCCCTGCCTCTGTGTCCCCGCAGTGCCCGTGGCCAATGCCACCATCACCCCCGGTCCCCTGGCACACCAGGTGCACACAGGTGACAACATGACCCTGCACTGCTCGGTGCAGGTGGGCTCATCCCCTGTCACCTTCACGTGGCTGCACAACGGGCAGGAGGTGGCCCGGGCTCCCCTCCTGGAGCTCAGGGACATCGATGTGGGACATTCGGGCACCTACCAGTGCGTGGCCACCAACCAGCTGGGACAGGACGGGCACCGCGTGTTCCGGGCACTCAGCCCAGAGCTGGCCCTGGAGGTGACACCTGGCTCACCCTGGCTCACAGGTGGGGTCACACAGCATCACTGGGGGGTCCAAGGCACCTGAGGTGAGTGGTGGCACTGATGTGTCCCCTCTGTCCCCAGCAGTGGCTGTCAATGTTGGCAGGACCCTCCTGTTCCTGCTCCTGCTCCTGGCTGTCATCGGGGGCTGTCACTGGTGGCACCGCTGGGGTGGGTGACACTGGGGGGGATGGGGATCCTGGAGTGAGGGGAAGCCCCCAGAGTGGGGGCAGAGATCAGGGATCCACTGGGAATCAGGGCTGCAGTGGGGATTTGGGGTCCTGTGGGTGGTTGTGGCTTCCGAGGTCCCAGGAAGGTTCAGGGATCTCGTGGTCCCCACAGTCACCCCCTCCCCTTTCCCTTGCAGCTGACAGGAAGCTCCAGGACAGGTGAGTGGGGGGCTCGGGCCAGGACTCCCCTTTCCCCCTCCCAGACGCCCCCTAGACCCCTCTTATCCCCACAGGACACCCCTGGAGGAGGGGGCTGTGCTGGACCCCCACCAAGAGGGCATGGGGGTTTGTTCAGGGGGCAGAAAGGGACACGTCACCCACAGGTGTCACCTCCGACCCAGGACCTCACCCCCAGTGTCACTCTCAGGGCCCCCATGGGTGTCCCCTGGCCCTGCCGCACCTCGGGATCCACAAGAGACCAACGTGGAGCAGTCGGGACCCCACGAGGAACAGAGGGACCCCCATGAGTTCAAGAACATGCTGTGACACTTGGGGCACTGGGGGGCACTGGAGGGCACTGGAGGGCACTGGGGACACTGGGGGCACTGGGGGCACTGGGCGGCACTGGGCGGCACTGGCGGCAGAAGACGCACTGGTGATCTCTGCCCCAGGACACCCCCTCTGTGTCCCCCCACCCCAGCTCCTGTGTGTGCCCACTGTGCCTGGGTTTGGGGGTTCCAGACTCCAGAGCTCCCTGTGCTCCCTGGGGCTCCTCATTCCCTTCCCCATTGCCAGGGGGCACAGCACCTTTGTTTCTCTTATTGGACCCAAAACACATCTTTTTGATTAAACCGGGATAAATGGTTTTTGTTTGTTCAGCTTGGGAAGGAGGAGGGTCCTGCTCAGGTTGTTGAGCAGATCGTTCTGGATTCTGCAGGATTTTGGAGGCTCCCTCAGTCCCTTGGGGACAGGGACAACATGATCAATTGGGGCATTTCCAGACTGGTTCCCTCCCAGAGTGGAAGGAGCTGCCGCTCCCTGTTTGTCCCCTCTCGGTGACACTGGCCACGGGCTCGGGGACCTGCGGCAGTGCCGCCCCGTCACCTCGGGCACCCATCCGGCAGCTGCCAAGCCCCTCGGGCCCACCCCAGCTCAACCCATCCCTGCCCCAGCCTTGCCTGGTGTCCCCCGGTGCCCCCGTTGCCCAGACCCTACACCTGGAGCTCCCTGAGCAGCGTCTGAGCCCCGGAGCTGCTGCAGAGCCCTGGCCGAGGGCACCAGGACTGCCCCGAGAGCCCCTGGAGGGAGCCGGGGGTGTCCCCAAATGCCACCTTAAAGGTCACTCCATCCCCAGCCCTGCCCGGTGCCCCTCTGTGCCCAAACCCCACACCCGGTGCTCTCTGAGTGGTGTTGGAGCCCTGGAGCTGCTGCAGAGCCCTGGCCGGGGGCACCGGGAGGTGCCGGAGGTTTCGGGGACCCCCCGGCGCTGCAGGAGGGGGGTCCTGCCCTCCGGTCACTGTCGCGGGTCGCGGCCACCACTCTGCTGCGAAGGCCGGGACTATCCTGGGCTGTGGGGATGGGCGATGGCAATGTGTACCAAGGTGGGGATCTTGGGGTCTCACCCTGTCCTTTCCAGGACCCCCCAATCCCACATCCTCCCTTGGCTCTGGGGCTGTTTGGGACGTTGGGGACAGCACCACTCGCGCAGGGGTCCATTGGGGACAGCTCACTACAGCCGCTGCCTCTCCCCACGGCTGGGCCTGGCAACAGTTGTGACAGCCACCCCTGCCCGGGATTCACCTCCTGCCATCCTGGGGACACCCTGGGGTCCTGTGTCCCCAAATCCAGCGGGTCCCGTGTCCCCCCAAACCTTCCCGGGCACATCCCGGCGTCCTGTGTCCCCAACCCCCTCAAACCTCCTGGGGACACCTCAGTTCCCCCAGACTCCCCCAGTCCCCCCCGGGCTCAGCAGTGCTCTGCAGCAGCTCCAGGGCTCAGAGCCCACCCAGAAAGTGCTGGGTATGGTGTTGGGCACTTAGGGGGCACCGGGAGGGAGGATTTGGCACCGGGTGCGGAGTTTGGGGCACCGGGAGACAGCTGGGGGAACCTGGGGGCACCAGGGAGAGCATCGGAGGAGGAGATTGGGCATCAGGTGCGGAGTTTGGGGCACCGGGGGGCACCAGAAGACACCGGGGCGCAGTCGGCAGGACTGAGGAGAGGGGATCTGGGCACTGGGGGGATTTTAGGGGGAGTTTTGGGTGATTTTAGTGTGATTTTGGGGATTTAGTGTTATTTTGAGGTGACCTGGGGGGCACCAGGGGAATTTCAGTGGGATTTTTGGGTGATTTTAGTGTGATTTTGGGGATTTAGTGTTATTTTGAGGTGACCTGGGGGGCACCAGGGGAATTTCAGTGGGATTTTTGGGTGATTTTAGTGTGATTTTGGGGATTTAGTGTTATTTTGAGGTGACCTGGGGGGCACCAGGGGAATTTCAGTGGGATTTTTGGGTGATTTTAGTGTGATTTTGGGGATTTAGTGTTATTTTGAGGTGACCTGGGGGGGACTTTGGGGTGAGTTGGGGGATTTTTGGGGGTGGTGGGGAAATTAAGAGGGGTTTTGGGGTGATTTTAGGGGATTTGGGGGTGATTTGGAGGTGATTTTGGGGAAGTCTGGTGAGATTTTGGGGGAGATATTGTGTAGATTTTGGGGAGTTTGGGGAGATTTGGGAGGACTTAGGAGACATTTTAGACAAAATTTGGAGGATTGGGGGGGGATTTGGAGGGGATTTAGAGATGATTTGGGGCAATTTTGGGATAGGGATTTTGAGGGGTTTGGGGTGTATTTGGGGTTGATTTTGGTGGATTTTCAAAGGATTTTTAAGGTATCTTGGGGGTGATTTTTATAGGAGTTTTTGGGGAAATTTTGGGGGGATTTTGGGGTCTCACTTGTCCTTTCCTGCAGCCCATGGACGTCTCAGCCCCATCGTGCTGCTCCAGGATATCACCGTCGCCCCCGGAGCACTGCCTTTGCTCCGGGACAAAGCCAAAACCATCCGGGTCATCACTGGGGACCTGATCTGGGAGCTCATGTGAGGCTCCCAATATCCGCCATTTTCCCCACCAAAATCCAGGATTTTTTCCCCCAAAATTCAGGATTCTTTCCCCCAAAATTTGGGATTTTTCACTAAAAATTCGGGATTCATTCAGTGAAAATTCTGAATATTTTTCTCCAAAATTCAGGACATTAAAAAAAAAAAATTCAGGATTTTTTCTCTGAAAATCTGGTAGTTTTTCCCCCAAAATCTGGAATATTTTCCTCAAAATTTGGGCTTTTTACCACCAAGATTCAGGATTATTTTCTCCAAAATCCAGGGTATTTTTCCCTAAAATTTGAAATTTTTTTCCCCCCAAATCTGGGGTATTTTTCCCCTGTGTCCCTGATCCTCGTCCCTGTCCCCCAGAATTCTCAGAGATTGGCTCCCAGCCTCACTTATTATCAGCACCGAGGAATTCCAGCGGATTCAGGAGGAGGCTTGGGCTCCATGGCAGCTTGCGGACCAGCTGCAGATCCTCAAATCCTGCCAGGACACGGCATTTGTGGGCATCTCCCGATTCCCTGAGCCCCAATTTCCTGATCCCCCTTTTCCTGATCCCAAATTTCCCAGTCCCGGATTTCCCAACCCCGAATTTCCTGATCCTGCTTTTCCTAATCCAGATTTTCCTGATCCCGAATTTCCTGCTCACTTTTCTCAATCCTCCTTTTCCTAATCTTGATTTTCTGGATCCTGATTTTACTGGTCCCGGGCATGAGATTTTGTGGGAATTTTGGGATGATTTTGTGGGGATTTTGAGGGTGGATTTGTGTGATGATTTTAGAGTGATTTTGGGGTCTCACCCCATCCTTTCCCACAGATTTCAAGCCCCTCCAAGTCCATCGTGCAGCTCCAGGACGTGAGGACCGCCCCTGGCCTGGTGCCCTCACGTCAGGACAAACCCAAAACCATCTGGGACTTCATCAAGGACGTGGTCCAGGAGCTCGTGTGAGGCTTGGGGGGATGTGGGGACCCCTTGAGGGGATTTGGGGACCCATGGAGACTCAGGGAGAAGTTGGACCCAGAAGGGAATTGGAGACTTGGAGAGGATTTGAAGACCCAGGTGGGATTGGGGGACCCTGAGGGATTTGGGGACTCAGGAGAATCTGGGGACTATGGGGAATTTGAGGACCCTGAGGGGGTTTAGGGTCCTGGAGGGATTTGGTAATCCAGATGGGATTTAGGGACACAGGGGACACCAGGAGCTGTCCCCGTGTCCCTGATCCCAGTCCATGTCCCCCAGAATTCCCAGGGATTGGTCCCCGGTCTTGCTCATCATTGGCACAGAGGAATCCCAGTGGATCCAGGAGGAGGCTTAGGCTCCACAGCAGCTCACAGACTGGCTGCAAATCCTCAAATCTCACGAGGATGAGGCTTTCATGGGCATCTCCTGATTCCCTGAGCCTCAATTTCCCAATCCCGAATTTCCTGATCCCCCTTTTCCCAATCCCAATTTTCCTGATCTCGATTTTCCCAATCTCCTCATGCCAGGGCTCCTGGAATGTCCCAGGACTGTCCCCGCAGGAGACCCTGGGAATGTCCCCAAGGAATGTCCCGGGAATGTCCCCCAGGAATGCCCGGAAATGTCCCAGGATGTCCCAGGCCTTTCCCCACAGTAGGCTCTGGGATTGTCCCTAGGAGTGTCCCAAAGAATGTCCCCAGCAGTGTCCCCAGCATTGTCGCTGTCCCTGTCCCACAGGAGGCACACAGCCAGACCTGCAGCATGGAGCAGTGGCAGGAGGAGCTGCGGGAGGCGTGGGCCCACTCGGAGCTGGAGCAGGAGCAGGAGTGGGAGTGGCAGGAGCTGCTGGAGTGTGTGGCCGGGATGAGGCTGGAGCAGGAGAATAAGATGCAGCACCTGAACTCGGTATGGTCGGAACTTTCCCGTTTCCTCTTTTTCTCCCTTTTTTCCTTTTTCCTCTTTTCCCTTTCCCATTTCCCTTTTCCCATTCCAATTCCCATTTCCCATTCCCATTTCCCATTTCCCATTTCCCATTTCCCATTTCCCATTTCCCATTTCCCTTTTCCCATTCCAATTCCCATTTCCCATTCCCATTTCCCATTTCCCATTTCCCATTTCCCATTTCCCATTTCCCATTCCCCTTTTCCCTTTCCCCTTTTCCCTTTTCCCATTCCCGAGTCCCACAGCTCCTGCTGAGTGCCCGCTGCAGCTCCATTCTGGACAGGCAGGAGAAGCTCCAGGCCTCCCTTTCCCATTCCCATTCCCATTCCCATTCCCATTCCCATTCCCATTCCCATTCCCATTCCCATTTCCCACAACTCCTGCTGAGTGCCTGCTGCAGCTCCATCCTGGACAGGCCAGAGAAGCGGCTGCTCCAGGACTCCCATTTCCATTTTCCATTTCCCTTTCCCTTGTCCCTTATTCCATTTCCCATTCCCATTTCTCACAGTTCCTGCTGGGTGCCCACTGCAGCTCCATCCTGAACCATCAGCTGGCGGAGAAGTGGCAGATCCAGGGGGAGCTGCGGGTGGAGGAGCAGCGCCTGGAGCGGCTCATGGACAGCGAGCGGGAGAAGGAGCTGCAGCTGCAGGACGAGCTGGAGCGCTGCAGTAAGCAAGAGCTCATCAGGTCCATGCTTCCCTTTTCATTTCCCCTTTTCCTTTTCCTCTTCCCTTTGCCTTTTCCCCTTCCCTTTGCCTTTTCCCTTCTTTTCCCTTATCACTTTTTCCTTCCCCCATTGTTTTTTCCCTCTTTTCTTTTTCCTCTTCCTCTTCCCTTTCCTCTTTCTTCTTTTCCTTTCCTTTTTCCCCTTTTCTCCCCTTTCCCTTCTTTTCCGCTTCCCTCTTTTCCCTTTCACCTTTTCTCTTTCTGCTTTCCCTCCTTTTCCCTTCTTCCCCTTTCTCCTTTCCACTTTTTCCTCCTTTTTCCTCCTTTTCTGTTTCCCTGTCTCCACCTTTCTCCTTTCCCTTCCTTTTTCCCTTTCCCATTTCCCCTTCCCCCTTTTTCCCCTCCTTTCCCCTTCCCCACCCCATGCACTCCACCGTTCTGGAACCAGACAGGACCTTTTCCATTCCCGAACTCCCAAATAATTCCCAAATAATTCCCAAGTAATCCCCGAATGCTTCCCGAATTCCCAGCAGCAAGCTGGAGGTGCTCCAGCAGATGGAGCAGCAGCTGGAGCAGTGGGCACTGAGGGCCAAGCAGAAATTCCAGGAGGGCCGGAGGTTCCTGGAGCACCTGGATCAGATGAAGAGGGAGGATCACAAGGTTGGAGATTCCTGGCAGGAATTTGGGAATTTGGGAATTCGGGTCGGAAATGTTGGGGGCAGTGCAAGGCGGGATCGGGGCTCTGGTGGCCTTGGGGATGTGGGCATCAGCGGGAGGGGACACAGAGCTGCTGGGGATTTCAGGGAATGGGGATTTCTTGGAAGGAAAACTTCAGGGAATGGGGATTTCTGGGAATGGGGCAGCCTGAGGAGGGGAATCCTAGGGGGTGAGGACGGGGTTGGCAGGATACCTCCTTTGGGCACTGTCCCCTCGCCAAGGCGCTGTCACCTTCTGGGGCTACATCACCTCCCCAGGTGCTGTCATCTTCCGGGGCTTTGTCACCTTCCCAGGGCTCTGTCCCCCACTGTGTCCCTGTCCCCAGCTGATATCCCTGTCCCTGTCCCCAGCAGTATCACTATCCCCAGCAGTGTCCCTGTCCCTGTGTCCCTGTCCCCAGTTGTGTCTCTGTCCCAGTGTCCCTGCCCTCAAGGGTGTCCCTGTCCCTGTGTTGCTGTCCCCAGTTGTGTCCCTGTCCCCAGCGGTGTCTGTCCCCAAGAGTGGGACGTGGTGCTGGAGGCAGAGCAGGCGCGGCTGCGGCAGGAGGGGCAGCGGGAGGGGGAGCGGCTCAAAGCCCATGCAGGAGCACGAGCGGGGCTGGCAGGAGGCGCAGGTGGGTGTCACTGCCACATCTGTCCCCTCCCCGGGGTTCTGTCACCTCCCTGGGGCTCTGTCCCCCAGTTGGGGATGTCCTGGAGCGGTGGCGCTGGGAGCTATCCCTGTCCCCCGTGTCCCCAATATCCCCAATATCCCCAGTGTCCCCAATGTCCCCAGTGTCCACTGTCTCTGTCACTGTCCCCACTGTCCCTGCAGGAGGCTCTGCCCTCCAAGCGCAGCCAAGTGGCAATGCAGCGGGACTGGCAGTGCCAGGAGCTGCCCCTGTGTCCAGTGTTCCCAGTGTTCCCATTGTTCACAATGCCCCCAACGTCCCCAGTGTCCCCTGTCTCTGTCCCCAGTGACGTCACAGGAGGCATCTGGCCATGGAGGAGGGACACCAGGTGCTGGCACAGGCACGGGAGCGGGCAGAGCACCTGACATGCGTTGGGACAGCAAAAACTGCAGTGCCTCAGGTGTGGGGTGGCGATGTCACCTCCGGTGTCACCTGCTGTGCCACCTCTGGCACCTCTGTCAATTCCTGGCACCTCCTGGGACCTGTTCTGTCACCTGTGTCACCTCCTGGCACATCCTGGCACCTCCTGTGTCACCTCCTGGCATCTCTTGGCACCTCTTGTGTCACCTCTGTCACCCCTGGTACCGCCTGGCACCACTGATGTCCCCTCTTGTGCCACTCTGTCCCCTACAGGGACACCGGGGTGCCCAACAGGTACTGTGCCCTGGTGGAAAAGAAGGCCTGGGGCACGGCCAGTGCTGCCACCTCCTGCTGCCACCCGGATGCTACCTTATCACCTGCTGATGCCTCCTCCTGATGCCAGCTGCCATTCCCCAGGGATATGGGGGACATTTCCCCTTTTTTCCATGATTTGAACCAATTTTTTTTCTCTTTTTTTACCCATTTTTATAGATTTTAACCCATTTTACCGCTATTTGAACACTTTTTAAACCCTATTTTTAACAAAGTTAATCCCTATTTTTAACCACTTTTCATGTATTTTAACCCATTCTTATCCATATTTTTCTCTTTTTAGTTCCTATATTTACCTATTTTTAATCCCTACTCTTACGAATTTTATGCCTATTTTAACCCATTTTCATCTAATTTTAACCCATTTTTACCCCATTTTAAAATTTTTAAACACTTATTTGTAACACTTTCAAACCCATTATCCCAATTTTTAGCCCATTTTAATGTGTATTTTTAACCCATTTTAAAACCCATTTTTATCCCTATTTTGCCCCATTTTATCCCTATTTTCACCCCTTCTTAGCCCTATTTTTACCCATATTTTATCTATTTTTACCTATTTTTGTCCCTATTTTTAACTCCTTTTAATCCCAATTTTATCCCTACATTTCCCCCCATTTTATTCCTATTAATAATTTTTATAATCCCTATTTTAACCCATTTTAATCCCTATTTTAACCCATTATATCCTAATTTTTTACCCCAATTTTAACCCTTGAAACCCCATTTAATCTCTATTTTTTACCTTTTAAATCTCTATTTTATATATATTTTATCCCGATTTTTACCCTTCTTCCACTTTTGGGACCAAACTGCAGCTTTTGGGTTCAGCTGGGAGCACTTGTTTGAACTGGTTTATTTCCATGGGTTGTTTTTGGTCAGAATTTGGGGGGCAGAAACCCCCCGGGTGGGGGGTGTGTGTGTTGGGTGAGGGGGAGACCCCCCAGAATCTTCCAAATTTGGAAAAGGGGGGGTGCTTTTTTGTGTAAAAAATCCCAATTTCTCACCCAAATCTGGAATTTCTGGGGAGGAAAACAATCCAAATTTTCCACCCAAACCCAGCTTTTCCAGAGGGAAAAATCCCAATTTTGCACCAAAATCCAGCATTTCCAGGGGGAAAGAAATCCCAAATTTCCATCCAAATCTGGCATTTTCAAGGGAAAAAATCCCAGTTTTCCATCCCAGTGGGGGCGGGAGGGCGTGGGCAGGGGGGTCCCGGGGTTTGGGGACAGGGGAAGGGACAGGAAGGGACACGGGGGGGACATGGGTGGGGTGGTCTGGGGAGGCTGGGGGTAGGGGGGGGACAGCTGTGCCACTCCTCCAAGTGACATCCAGCCCCTGTCACCCCCTGAGTGTCACCTCATAAATGCTTCTTTAGGGGGGGCACCACAAATCCCAAACACCCAAATCTCAGGCCATAAATGGGGTGCACACTCCAAATCCCAATCATCCCAAATTTCACCCCATAAATGGGGGGGGCACCCCAAATCACAGCCCTTTAAGTGAAAGAACCCCCCCAAATCTCACCCCGTAAGTGGGAGGACACCCCAAATATCAGTCCCATTAAAGGGTGAGGACCCCAAATCTCAGCCCAAGAAAAGATTCTTTGGGAGGGGGACACCCCAAATCCCAACCACCCCAAATCTCACCCCCTAAATGTGGGAGCATCTGAAATCTCAGGCCATAAATGTTTCTTAAGGGAGAGAAGACACCCCAAATCCCAAACACCCCAAATTTCACCCCATAAGTGGGATGACGCCCCAAATCCCAGCCCATTAATGGGGGAACACCCCAAATCCCAACCACCCCAAATCTCACCCCCTAAATGTGGGAGCATCTGAAATCTCAGGCCATAAATGTTTCTTAAGGGAGAGAAGACACCCCAAATCCCAAACACCCCAAATTTCGGTTTGGGGTTGGTCCTGGACCTCCCCCCCAGGTGCCTCCCCAGCCCAGGAGCACCCCGAGGAGACCCTGGGGCAACCCAAAAGTTAAGGGAGTGGGGAAGGGATGGTGGCGCATCACCAGGACCTCAAGTCCCTGTGACCCCAAATCCCTGCAACCCCAAATCCCCAGAACCTCAAATCCCTGTGACCCCCAATACCCCGAATCCTAAATCCCTGTGATCCTCAATCCCCCAAACTCCAAATCCCTGTGACTCCTAAATCCTGTGTTACAAACCCCTGCACCCCAAATCCCTGTGACCCCAAATCCCTGCATGCCCCCATCTCCCAGGCCCTCCACCCACTGGGACCCCCACAGTCCCTAAGAACCCCCAAAGTTGTGAGAACCCCATTCCTGAGCCCCCCCACCCCCGGGACCCCCCAATCCCTGGGACCACCCTCAGTTCCTAAAAACCCCAGCCCTACAAGCTCCTTCTCCAGCACCCCCATTTCCTGCCCTCCCTTGGGTCACATGGGGTGCCCGGGGTTTTCAGGAACCCCGGGGTTTAGGGTGACCCCAGTGTGTGCCCCGCTCTGTCCCCAGCAGTGGCTCTGAATGTCAGCAGGACCATCCCATTCCTGCTCCTGCTCCTGGCTGTCATTGGGGGCTGTCACTGGTGGCACCACTGGGGTGGGTGACAATGGGGGAGGATGGGGGTCCTGGAGTGAGGAGAAGCTCCCAGAGTGGGAGCAAAGACCAGCAGCACCCAGGGCCCCTGAGCTGGGAGAAACTGAGCCCGCAGTGACCTCGGCTGGGAATCCTGGGGGATTTGGGGGGAATTTGGAGGGTCTAGGTTGGGCTCCAGGGTCATCCCTGGGTGGGCTTTGAGGAATATTTGGGTGGCACGGGGAGCTTCAGGAGGGTTTGGGGAGCTCCTGGAGGGCTGTGCAGGGATGTCGGGGGATCATTTTTGTCAGAGTTTGGGGATGCCCCTCCCTGCCAGGCTTGGGGTTCTGGGGGCTCAGAGGGTGGGGCCACTGGGGGGTTGGGGGCCCTGTGGTCGTCCAGAAGTTCTGCAGGGGTTCAGGCATGCGTGGAGAATCCTGGGGGAATCAGGGGTCCAGCTGGAATTAGGGCTGCAATGGGGATTTGGGGAACCCATGGGTGTTTGGTGCTGCTGAGTTCCCAGGAAGGTTCAGGGGTCCCGGGGTGTCACACCCGCCCCTTTTCCTTGCAGCTGTCTGATTTTATTTGATTTGCTTTCAACATTTTTTGGGTAAATACTAGTGTGACCATTCTTGAGGAGCCATACTCTGCCTTCTCATGCTTTTTAACAACGTGTGTCTCTTGTTATGAACTTGAAGGCAACATAAAAAACAAACCAACATGTGGCAAAACAAGACACTTAGACTAAGCAGAAGTAAATCAGATAATAGATGCAATTAGTAGTACATGAGAGAGAGAAGGGTGATTTAAAACAATGCATTATCAATTCCCTAAATCCTGTACTATCCCCAGGGTCTGCAGCTACTGGCAAACCTCATTTTAGAGTGAGGGCTTGGAGAACCATTCCTAGATAAGATTTCACTCTGAAAAATTATGTTAGCTTCCAGCTAACATAGGTCCAAATTTGGCAAGTGAAAATGACCTGAGTAAAGTTTTGGTGCAGAAAACCCCTGGGCATGGTGAGCATCCAGGGGAGCTGGGGGCAGGGGTATTCACTGGGTGTGCCCTTGGGCAGGGAGCGCCATTGCCCCCACTGCCCCCAGTGTCACAGCACATTCTCAAAGATGTCACGGGGTTTCCACTGTCACCCATGAGATCCCAGCAGCTTTGCGTTGGTCACCTGGGGTCTGTGGAACAGGGGGACTCTGGGAGAGACACCGGTTGTGGGGACCTGGGTGGGGGAAGATACCTGTGGGTGACGTGTCCCTGTGTCCCATCCTACTCATCTCCTGCCCGCTTGGTGACCACGATGTGGGGGTCCAGCACTGCTCCTTCCTTCAGGGGAGTTCTGTGGGGATAAGGGAGGGTCTGGAAGGGTCTCCCATTTCTGAAAGGTGGAAAGAGGAGTCCTGGCTGGAGCCACCCACTCACCTGTCCCTGGGCTTCCTGGAGGCTGCAAGGAGAAGGGGAGGGGGTGACTGAGGGGACCCCAGCACCCCTGAACCTTCCTGGAACCTCAGCAGCCCCAACCACCCATGGGATCCCCAAATCCCCACTGCATCCCTGATTTCCACTGGACCCCTGACACTACCTGGACTCTCCAGACACCCTTGAACCCCCCAGAACTTCTGCACCACCACAGGGCCCCCAACCAACCTGGGG